ACTCAAACCTTCTTAGTCTTCACTTGCAACAATTGTGCACAACTCATCATTCTTCCTGGGCTTCAAACCACAAAGATTATACCCTTTGTGTAAGATAAATACAAAATACCCCGAATGAAACTTTCAATGTTATACGAGTTGTTGGAGACGTGGGCATGCTTCAGGAGACAGTCAAAGACTAAAAACAGAATACATGAGACTGCTAGGGATCACTGCTGTAATAGACCTTTTTCAAATTCCCCTAAGAAATACTTGTGACACATTCTAAATTTCTCTCAGCAAGACTCATTAAACAAAAATCAGAGGAAAAAAAAACCATAAAAAGAGAAAAAGGAATAGACAGCGCAGACAGGGGAAAGATAGTTTTAATAAAATCAACCAAGCCCGAAGGCCACCTTCAATGATCAAATACTTTCTGCAGTAATTTCTGCAGTGTTTTGGGCCCATGGATCACACACTACTTACAGGCCACTCTCTACTAACAATTTAAATGTCATCCTTATTGGATAAATATATTCCGCTTTACCTTCAATGGAGCCTGCCTTCTCTGAACCCCTCCCTCCCATTTTTTTCTCTACACCTTTTTCCTCTTAACCACCCTTCACTCTTACTTGTCTTCTTCTTCCTTTCCTCTTTCACTCTCCCCCTCTTCCCTTCCTTTTTCGCTTACAACCACACCACCCTTGCGCACCCTAGCCAATGCACTATATCTACCTCACACCTTTTCCCCCCTTTCCTCCTCATACACAGATGCAACATTCTGAAGACCTATATAGGCAGTACTCCGCATGAGCCTTACCCACCTCCCATATGTTACGGTACTGCATTTTCTCCTAGGTTATAATTGATAATGTCTGAATGTTGTCAGTCATGTGTTTAAGTATCATTGTTCACCTACTTACAATAAATCTATTGTGACTTGTTATATGACTGCCTAAAAGAGAAAGAATAAAAACTATTTAAATGGAAGTAAATTAAGCCATTTAACTATTAGAACCCAGTCCAAAGTATATTTTCCCTTCAATGGCCTGAGTAAGAACCTAGGTAAGGAAAACTCAGATGGCGGTCTGCAGGGATCGCAAGGGTGGCACAATAAGTACCAAAAGGCCACATTCAGTCCCTGGGCTGCTGTTTTGGAACCGGGGACTTAGATGGTACATGGCCACCCAGAAGTTAACAAAATCTGTGGAAGGGGCTTCAGCTAATTGTTTTTGAGGATGTAAGTAGGTGGTACTTTTAAACATATTTGGTAGTATTTCCCATAACTAAGACTGATGTGGTGCAGTGTGCACAAATTAATGTACACAAAGCCACTGCTCGTTTAGCACAAATGATCTCGGCGATGCTGCCGAGATCACTTGTAATACGCCTGCTGGTCTGCCGCCCCTATGGTCTGCCCCCACCACCGACTGCCTCTCTCCCTGCCAGCTACCTCTCTCTCCGCTGACCGCCTCCCTCCCTGCAGTGGTTTTCGGGGGTTCCCCACTCTTCTGGGGGACCCGGGACCAGGGCAAAGCAGTTAGGATGGAGAGCGGGGAGTAGAGCGGAGAACATCTGTTCTTAGATCTGCTCTGTGTTAACAGTGAGACAGGAAGACTGTACTCACAGCCTGCCTGTCTCAGCTTGCACAGGAGAACCAGCACAGTGCTGTGCTAGAACTTCTGTATTGGAGGTGACAGGTTCAATACCTGTCACCTCCAAATGCTATCACACAGGGAATTCTTATCCCCTGTGTGATAGCAAAAAAGTTAAGTGAAATAAAAGTAAAAAATAATAAAATCAATAAGAATGATAAAAAATAAAGTAAAAGATAAATTAAAAAAAATTAAAATGTAAAAAAAATAGAAATTAAAAAAATAAAGTGATAAAGTAAAAAATAATACATTTAAAAAAAATGAAATGTTTCAATGTTTGAATATGTGCGTTTCCCTATTTCGCTTAAGGCAGTGATGCTGAACATTTTTTAAGCCCCAGAGCCCAAACTAAAAACACAATACCAAACTTATTTTCAATGTTGGAACGTTCAAATTAATAAATTGATTTTACGTTGCAGTTTGGGGACTCTGGCTCGAAAACGTTAGCCATCACTGTTCTAGGGTGTACCAGTGCTTGGCACCTGGCAGACCTGGGCCCACCTAACCAGTTCCCTGCGCTATACCTGAATGCCCCCCACCACCGCCACATTCTTCTCTATTGCGACCACTCCTCTTTCTTCTACTTTCAGATTCATCGCAAAGATAATTTAATTTTAAATGTAATTAATTTTTTTTTTATTGTCAAACACAGGTTATTAAGGAATCACTTTTCACATTTTACCAAGGGCTCAAGTATGTGCACTGGATGAATGAACATTTAGGGATACTCTAGTTATGATTCCACAGATTTCTGAATTGGAACACTGTTCTCATATCTTACACATAGAACATTACTAGCTATAGCCTTGAGCAGACCATTACATCCGTGACATTTTATCAAGAATTTTCTATATTATATATTACTGTATCATTACTGAGAGGTGTTTTATCAGTCCAAAGATCTCCTTTGTATTTCCACACCACAAGCACTATTTTGATCGCACCGCACCGGAACACCCTGCAGGCACAATGTGCCTTGCGATCCCGTGCAGGCGATCGCATTGCGGCCGCAGGGCGTGGCTACGGTGCCAGTCACTTCAATGACCCGCCACGTCCCCTCCAGCCCGGCAAAAAAGTGAGCCGGCCGCAATGCGTTCAGGTCCGATTCTGACTGGAACGCACTGCCTATGGTGTGAATAATCCCTTATGACAGACTAGTGATTTACCTGTGTATATTTCACAACTGAAATGTTATTCTTTTTTCTAAACCCAATAAAAATGTACTGATACAGAAAGCCTTGTATCATATACTGAATATACATAAGCACTGCTCCATACTGCGAGAGAATATAACATTGTGAAGGGCACACTACTGGGCAGATTGCCAACAGGAAGATCCATGAGAATGCTATTGTCACTGCATGTGATATGACTCTATTGAATTACTGACTTCAGATCTGACAGATGAACCATGTCAAGGGAGAATTAGGGAGGCTGCAATTGCTGCATTTTTCTAAATAGCTTTCTGGGTGTCTCTAGGTTTTGTAGTAACAATTATGAATCAATAGGAGCTTAGCCTTGAAGTGAGGGAAAGTTAGCCACCAACAACAAAGTGGAATTAAATCTGAGAGGGGTACAGAAAAGACAAATGAAAGTAATAGCAGGCATAGCGTGGTGTCTGCTCTAAGGCAGGATTTTACAAGGCACACCGAGCCTCAAAGTCCTATATCCACTGCAGATTAACATTAAAACTGAAACATGTTTCTATGTTGGTAGGTAATATTTGCAAATATCAAATAGCCAGCCATCAGGGAGGTAAGGGTACACCTTCAGGCTCTTTACAACTACCAACACTGTCTATACTGAATCTGGCCAAAGTACCCCTCTGGATACATACACCAGTGGCTGAGAATCCATTATGTAAAATGTATACTCCTAATTTAAAAGGCTAAGAGGTTTTTAACCCCTTCATGACTGAGGCCCTTTTTTCCATTTTTGCACCCATGTTATATTCCACATTTTAGGCCTGAAAATGACGTAAAAACCCCCCAACATTATATATTTTCTGAATGCCAAGACCCTATAGAATAAAATGGTGGTAGTTGAAAATTTTTATGTTGCGCAATATTAGCGCAACTCCTTATTAAACCCCAAAATTTAGTGACAAATTTAATTAAATGCCCCAAAACACAACAAATTACCCATTTTTTTAATGAAATATAAAAGATGAGGTTACAACGAGTAAAACGATACCCAACATGCCCAGTTTACAGATTGCGTGCGACCGTGAAACGGCGAAAAACTGCAGTACCCCAAAAAATCAATAAAAGACACTTTAAAAGCCCCCACAGGTCATCAATTTTGCTGACCTCTAATGACAAATTGCCATTCAGTACAAGCGCTTTCGGGGTCTCAGAAGTACCCCTTCATCAGGCTCAGAATGAGCCTGATGAAGGGGTACTTCATAGACCCCGAAAGCGCTTGTACTGAATGGCAATTTGTCATTAAAGGACTTTTTGCTGTAAATATTGTGGTGTGCTGGTGACAATTTTTACTACTTCTATATTGCTCATGGTGCCCTCCGTGGTCGCTACAAGCACCCACCTGCTTTGTAGGTTTACTACTTTTCCGGTAAGGCTGGTTTCCTATTATATAACATTGCTGACCTCTGTACTGCGCGTCACAATGCTGACCTCTGCACTGCGCGTCACATTGCTGGCCTCTGCACTGCGCGTCACACAGCTGGCCTCCGTATTCTGTATTGCACCACTGACTTCTGTACTGTGCATTGTTACTGATCTTTATACTCTGCGTCACACCGCTG